TATATATATATTATGTACAATTTCATCCTGTTTTATGGCTTCAAAAATACAATATTACATCTCTATCTGAGGATCTCTTTGTAGTAGTTGTGCGTTGGATATACGGCGGCTAACTGAAGGCATGTGTAGATGTAATGTTACTTTATGCTCTGCACTTGTTTTAATGTCAAAGCTACTTTTTTTTTTGTCCTAACAGTGATACAGAAGTTGCTATTAAGTGCTAGGATACTGTGCGGAAAAACAAATCACACAAACATTAAATGAAACTAAAGAAAAAAAATGATTGTCTAAGGTGAATGCCTTTATGTTCTGTCTGTAATAAAAGACTCTTGTTCCAAAACTCAACATATGCACGATGGTGAAAAACAAAAAATCCTTCATTCATAAACACTTTGCTGTATGAAATACTTAAAATTCCAGTTCTTAGGAGTGTTTTGCTGCACTGGATGTTTCAGATGCAGTATATGGCATTTTCCATATGATGGATATGTTGTTTTAGAACAAAAATCTAATTTAAAATGTTACCAGCATAAATCTACATGTGTAAGCCACTGTAATGGCTCCGTCCAGAGACGATCTGCAGCACAACGCCCTCTTTCATATTGTCCTTCAGAGGAAATCTGACTGTGGGTTGATGCTAACTGGAGGGGAGGAAATGTTAACTTCATGCGTTTTTCCTTTGAAGGACAACACAAAGTGGGGAGCTCAGTCAGGCTGTGTTGAAATCACATCTGGTCAGAGTCACCGCTGAGCTCTTAAAAACCTAATTTCCACTCATTCACACTCATACACTCACACACTGACACACCTGTCCCACTCAAATGTTGAATACTTGAGTATTTTCAATCCAAAAGTGACTCCAACTCTCCAAAAAAGAAAAAGAAAAGAATAAATTACAGGCCGTGTGTCGCCCACGTAACAGAGGAATTTGAGTAATTTCACGTAATTCCTTGTTTCATTTGAAACAAACCGTCTTCAGTGTTTTTTTTTTGTTCCTTCCTCTGAGTAAAGTGTTACTGTACACCAGCACAAGTGTTCAAACTAATTTCACGTTGCCGATTCTGTAACCTCCAGTTGCTTTTTCTACTGTTTAGAATCGAGGTTGAGCTGTGCGCCCTCTCGTGGTCAAAAGGTAACATGGTGGTAGTTCTTCCAAGGAGTGCAACATGTGCAGCTAAGAGAGGGACGTTTACAGTTTACAGAGCAGATCTTTAGTACTTGGACAGAGATGCATCTTTAGGCTCTGCACTCACACTGGATTGTAGCTATGAGGTTAAAGTACTGACTTTAAACTTCAAGGTATTTTCTTCTCATCAGTGTAGAACTTCTAGCCCGTTAATCCTTTTGGGGTGTATGTATAAAAAAAATGCTACAATTTCTACACAGTCCATTGGATGTGAGTATGAAAGTCAGCAGTTTAACCTCAGAGTCATAAGTTTTAAATACAATGTACTTGAGTTCAGACTGTTTACAGAACTGTTTCAGTGCTAACAGACTGCACTGTAGGTGTTTGAGGGGGAGTGAGCATCTCTTGAAATTCAGCCTTACTTTTACTGGCCGTTACGCTCCATAAATAATTTGCTTTTTGAAAGCCAATACAGGCAGTTTGTCAAGTTTAACACTAAAATGAAAAACAGTTAAAGCATCAGAGTTTAATGGGGCCAGTTTAGGCAACCGGGACCTCCTGTCTGGGATGTCAAGGCCCTTTTCTCACCGATGGGTAATTCTGGACAACTTGTCAGCCCCACGTGTAATAATGAAGTATTCAAGACAAGTTGTCTCCTAGCAGTTTATACGTTTTATCGCCTGCTATGAACTAGATCAGACCGTGTGCGTTTAACAGATCTCAGTAACAAAGTAAAAGTTGACTTTTTGCTCAAAGAATCTAAAATCCTGGAGCCTTTCAAACTTTCAGATGTTTAGAAATCAATACCGATAACGGTGATCGGTACGGTGCAATAAACCTTTGTGTTGCTGATACCCAATCCTGCTGCCGGGTGTTTATTTGTCTCCGTCACGATCTCCACGCAGCCGCCTCTCTCTCTCGTGCTGGCGCTTGGTGATGATGTATTTGAAGAACTCGTAGACGGACCAGCTGATGGCTGTGGAGGGCATCTGGTAGATGATCCGGGCTTGGACGCCTTTGAAAGAAGGCCGGCACCGCCTCCCATCCTGTACACCGTCCGAAAGGCCTCGCCCAGGGCCAGAGATGTGGGCGGCTGCCGGGGGCCGAGGCGGTCCCGCTCCGACTGCTTCCAGCTGCCGTGGGCGGCCTCTGCCTGGATTACGTGTATGGCCTGAGCCTCCTGCGTGTGTGAGGAGAGTTCTTGCAGACCGTCGAGGGGAGTAAGTGGCGGCGGCGGCCAGGGCGCCACTAGCGCGCAACACGACGTGGGAGGAAGGGTTGTACTGTCTGTGGGGGTTGGAGGAGCTCCTGGAGATTACTCATAGGTCATGAAGTGCAGCGCCTGGAAGGGCACGTTCATGGTCAGCTGGGTGGTGTAACTGCGGTAGAAAGCGGCCGGGCCCTCGTGCCTCACCAATGACCCCATACAGTCAAGAACGCCACGGTAGGGAGAGTTGAACATCTGCATTCGCTGTTTCACAACTGATGGAGGGGGGAGAGGGGAAGGAGAGGAAATCAGCAAAGAAAAACACCAGGAACTTATTTCACATGACTGTACAAGCCAGGAACATTTCATAGGAAGGGAGTAATCGAGAGTAGACAAAAAACGTTCTGTTTGTAAATCTTAACCATGGTTATAAATACACATTTTAAAGTTATTTTGTCACTCATAAACTCATAAACAGTCGAGTCTGTAGCTCCCCCCAGTGTCCTGATGGTAGAATAGCACCATCAGAGGCATATAATGGTCTTTAAAGGAGGCTGAGTGTGTGTGTGTG